GCAGGCTTCATCACTGGCCTTTACAGTAACCGTAGCTGCCGGCGAGAGTCGGTACCACCGCATTACGCCCTCGCATTGGGCGTTGTTCGGTCCTTACGACTGAGAGAAGGAAGGTTGGACTTAGAAAACCTGTAAAGGGGCAGTAACTTCACATTTTGCTTTGTTAAACAAATTTTTGGAATTTGGTTCACATGACAGTTTGGCTTTTTTCACTTGGCGATTTACAGAGGAGCCTTAATTCCTACCTTTGTCAGTTAATCTGCACTAAACTATTTTAGTCAAGTAATTAACCGCTGGCAAAGGACCGATCTAAAATCCCGGTGGAATGGCTGGAAATGCTCAGCCCTTCATTAGAGGCATTATCTCCTAATGCAGTGGTTTTGTTGTGATATTGTTGAATAGTGCGGGTCTAAGATAGTCAGCTCAGCCATGTAATACTCTTAGTATCAAAGCTCGTCAGTCATTCTGGGAAACTCACTATGCAGATGGCAGCGAAATTTTGCTTCCCTTTGCCTGAAATGACGTTTTACTGAAGAATTCTGTTTAATCATAAAGTACATTTAGAGAACAAATTTAGCATACAGTTATGTTGAAGCATGTTTACTGACAAAATTGGCATTACAATTTGGTTATGGTAATGTATTCATAAGACAGTAAGTTTTACATGGCCTTGTTTATACTTTGGTTCTTTCTGATCACTTCAACCTTCGTTAGCAGTTTAGTACAGCCGTTTTTCGACTGTTGAACCAGCTCATGAAATTTGGCCGCGTAGCCCCTTAACGACTTTACCCATCACCTTTTCAAAATTTTAGCTGTATTATTCTATTAAACGATGAACAGCCGAGTAAAAAGTAACTATCGGTTAGGTCAATGTAGGTGCCAAATTGTGGGAACCTTTTCCAGTATATTTGATTCTCCGTTTGTGCATTGTTGTCTTCGTATCTTTATGTGATTCAGTTCGTATCTTCGTTTAGATTCAGTTTCGGCCTCGACTTAAACGCATCAATCTCAGGGATTTGCAGCTATTACTTAGCCAAGGCAAGGCGTTCCGACATTCAGAGACGCTGTATCGCTGTTGCTTTAAATGACGTTTAACTTTGGCTCTAATTTGTCCTGATTCCAAGAATGAACTTTCCTTGTGGTTTTGCATCTCAGGCTTGAACGATAAACTAATCGCCGATTCATTTTGTATCAGTTGTTGAAACATTGTTTATTTTTCGTCGTTTAGCGACCGACCTTCGATGGTTGCAAATTTTGTTGAGCATTTAAACGAGTCATCGTACTGACGGAGTTGAACCGTCGCCTGTCTTTGCATTTCTCTGATTGGCGGTTGGCTTTGCCGGCGATTTCAATTAAATAAGCTATTTCCACTGATCGGTGGCTCTTAGTTCAGCATGTTGTCCGTTCTCGCATATGAGCTTACAAGTCCAATACATTATCATTATTCCGCCTCAGGCCTATATGGTTCGACTGTATAACACTACGGATCGGTATGCCATTCACTGAAATTTGAAAATGTAGTTTTAACGAGACTAATACGGAATTTAAGTTTTCAGCATAAACAATGTAAAATGAAAATGAAACAGTGAAGAAAAAATTTACGAACGCAAGTACAAAGAACTCTGCCTGAAGTGATCTATTAAGCAGTGGTCACATAACCAAAGCATCCAGACGATCTTAAGTTTTTCAATTTAACAGAATGACGCTCTCGAATCGATATCTGAATTAACAAAGCAGCATGGCAAATTGGAACTCAGTAACGGGTCAAGGAATGGGAGTAGTGTAGCGGCAAGTTTTACAAACCGTCAGACGTAGACCGTCAAACCTATACCCTGTAGAACAACGTGCCTGCTGGCAAAGCAATCAAGATCCTTCGCAGTGAAACACCAGACCGAAGATCGACCGTCCATCTCAACTTGGACTAATTAATAAAAGAAGGGATGTAGAGCAAGAGCATGTTATGCCAAACTGAATATTTTTGCCATGTTCAGCATAAAATAAGTTCTGTAAGTGGTCTTATCACTGAAGAATATGAATGTTCGGTGTCATTTCGGGTAATTAAACAAATAAACTGATGATGTGATAGCATGATGCATGTGATATGCTGACGATCAAGTTTTCTTTATAGCCATTCGAGAACTATATCGAACCTATGAACAAGAACAGAATCACGGCTTACAACAAGGAATTTAATTAGAAATAATGTTAAAAGCTTGTTGATATCAAATGATATCGATACCGAAACTCTCAGAAGCGACGTCATGATATGAAGCCTTTGTTCATATGCTGCATCACAATCAACAGCCACTGATCAATGATGATCGATATCGGTTGTGAACGTAAACAGTTCCCTAAATAACGGCTAAGGAAATTCTGAAGCTTCATCACCCAAACAATGTGGTGCCTCCTGGAAGCGTATTTCAGGATATGACGCTAGGTGCATCCTACTATTCTTGTGGTTAGCTTCCTTTCATCTAAATGTTATGGTGATCGGATCCGCTAACACGTCACACCGTCACTTCGTGACAGTGATAAGCTAAAAATGCCTATCAAGCACATGACGGGGACTTCATGTCATCTGTTGTCAACCATAACGACTAGTATTTCGATAAACATGCATTTACTATTAACTGTATGCTGTGCAATTCACACGACAAACCCATAACTACGCGTGTCTCTCAGCAACGAAATGTTTTTAACGAATTAATCGGCGCAGCGTGCACAAAGTTCGAGTGATTGTCGAAAATGGTGGCGGAGGCACGGCTTTCCTCTTCGATTCTGAAAATCAAACGGTTCACCCAAGTGAAAAACGTATGCACATAACATACCGAAACTGTTAGCAGTTGGGCCAGTTGCTAAAAACAACAGCAATTGCTTTAAATTATTCAAGTTAAATCTAGTCTTCAAATTTACCGTAATCATCAGGATATAACGGCCGCCCCATTCGGTCGTCGAATCGTCCTTGGGGTGAAAATCGCCCACGTTCAAAATTACCCCTGAACTGTCCAATATGTCTTGTCGATTGCAGAAAACTGTCCATCTGTTCCTGACTGGACGCAAAAACTTCAATGTACCTTAAACATCATAAATGAGAGAAATAAATAACCAGTGAATTGAAAAACGTTCGCAGGTAGACGTTTAGTCAACTAGCAGTTCTGTCATTTACAGCATGCAGATCAACTCCTCTCAAGATATACTGAAAACACGTGTCCACCTTTTTCTGGAAAGGCAGTCAACTCAAGCAAAATTAATCTGACCAATTCACGTGCTCGAAACACTTGCAACCTTCGTTTCGCCTTGGACAATACAGGGGACAAAAACAATAATGAAATATGAGATCTGATCACATAAACAATGTCATACCTTTCGCCCATATAGTTTCTGTGTCTTTCCAATGCCTTTGCTGCTAAGTCGGCACTGGTAAACTTCACAAATGCTTGTCCACTTGGACGACCAAATCCATTATAAATTATAAGTATACCTTCAGGAGCGATTTCCAAACCTGAAATATAACTTTGATTCGTAGCCATATGTTCCGAATGTTCACAATCTAACCATGAAACCTGAGCAAAATCTAATGCCACGGAGTGATTACTGACTATCTGCAATCAGATGCAACACACGCCATTCCAGCGGTACAAACATTCCGTTATGCCACTAAATAGCCTCACAGGTGGAACGTAAACGTCACACATCTGATCTATATCACAAAGGATGTGATGTGATAACGCCGCCTAAACCGGATGCGTGGAATTACATATCAGCTCATTTGCATACGCATCTACTATTTAATGTTCTCTGAAGTCATAGAGTACAGTCTCGTGCAATACCACTGGTTACTAGCAATGCACTACTCTAGCTACTAAATTTACGCGAGACTTATCAACGAATTAAAAAAATGTTTCAATGGCATAGTCTCGTGGCCTGCTAATGTGACGATTCCAGATCATAAGAGCAACGGGAGAGTACAACAGTACCGCGTAAACCGATCAGATAAAACCACACTTGTGAAAAGTAACTACGTAATTAAGCTCAAAACAACAAACGAACTGGGCACAATCAATTCCATTATCAGCTCCCCAATTCCTCCTTTCTTCCTCGCATTCTCATTTCTTCAGTACAGTTCATCTTCAATTTCTTCAGAATTTCATCGACTGTTGTTTCAACCTTAGTCTCTAGATATCAATCATCCTTTCGCATCACGTCATTTCCTACCTTCCGATCATCATTTTCCCCTCAGACTAAATTTTCTCAGTTCCTCCTATCTTTTTAACTTCGGTTCGTTTTAACAATCCATCCTTAGTTCCTTTGTTTTTGCCTTAGATCTCAATTTTAATTTACTCACTTTTTTTCATTTCCTTCTTCCCTCGTTAACATATTCCCTATTCGCATGTTCTGCCTTCCATCGTTAGTTATTAAACTCCTTCTCAATTCCTCCCTCCTTCAAATATCAGTTCTTCGTTTCCTTCACCTGATCCCAATTTCTTTCCCTCATGAACTACTTCGTTCCTCAGTTTTATGCTTTCATTCAATTTTCAAGCCATTACATTGGAAAAAAGCAGAAGACAACGGATCATAATTATAGAAACTAAAGGAGATTCACATCCCATGGTTACAACCTTTCCGTTTACGGAAATATTCCAGTAATACAATCTAATCCGAATGAAGCTAGAAACAAAAACTGACATATTCGCTTTGATATCTAATCACCCTAAACTTACACCAGGGTAATTTAATTCCTATATTTTGTGCAACTACGGTTCAAACAATTTTCCTGTTGTCCTCACTGTCATCTCTGGTTAGCAAAGCTTGAACAGTAAAAGCCTAAGTAGGTTTTGTGTAACATTTTTCAGATGGTACATCAGATTTATAATAAACAGCACTAAAAAGCACTACTTGGTATGTATCTCTCATCACAAGCAAATCTACCTCTAATTGCTCTTATGCTTCACCCTGCCACCTATCGTCATCTAATTTTTCACATCCCATAGACCATTTTTCTGGACCAACGCGCGTCAGCGTCTGCCCATTCGTGACACTTTGGCGATGGCAAAGGGAGTGGTGCAAAGTGTCGAAACGAACTTGATGGAGTTCTAGGGCAGTAAACGTTTTAAGACCGCAGGCGAGCCCAATGCTTTCAAGATGGTCATTTTCTCATTACAGATCAATCATTCTACATGCCAGAAACCAATAATCTACAATCAGATAGCAAGCAGACCAGTTAAACTTATCGAACGCCCAATGGCCTATAATAACAATCATTTCGTATAATAATTTCGAAAACTTTCACCGATAGGAACCAAGAAAAATTATCTTTTTCCACTGCATTGATAAAAAGAGTAAGAAATAAATGAATCACTTACTTAGCGAATAAGTTTCAATCATTATCAGGGTACCATAACAGTTCAATAATGGCAAGAAACCAATAAAAACATGGGTAATTATGTTAAAAGAGGCAAACAGTGAATATGCCTCCGATATATTATATGGTTTCATACTGATTACACACCCTGCTTTCAGATGATAGATACAAGATTCACTGATGAACAGCTTCAATTTACTATGTCAGCTGTCAGTGACGTTAGCATCAATAACAGTTTTCAGTTTCAAATCACAGTTTTCAGCGCTTAGACAGCTTACTAAGCTTTTTAACATTTCAAAGTTATGGAGGTCATCGAATATATATGGGATTAACCGTACAGAGCATCCATATGCATTCAGATTCGACAGTTAGAGTCACAAAGAAGTGAAAATGAATAGTCTGACATAAAGAACAAACGTTTCGATAGACCTTATATACAACCCTAACAGGGTGCAAATCAGGGTGTGTGAAACTCGATGAGGCCGAAAACATCTCTAACGGTCGAATCGGAAAGCATGCTGATATTCGTTGCGAACGACGAGAAAACTGAACGATATGCGCCTACTCAAGATCATTTCATGCTGCGCAAAAATGCTTCAAAACACCCTACTCCATTCTTCATTTGCAAAGGCGCTGGAATCTGGTCAAGACCTACTAAAATTTTGGCTTTCGAAACGAAGAACGGTCAATGCGATGGCGGTACTTATCGATTCTGTGCCAAAACAGATGAACCTGGATAACAGGATAACCCGATGAGGGTTCTTTGATTATTCAGCGACGTTTTAACACCAACGGTGCCACAAATCATGACTGAAGATGCCAAACATCGCAGTTTACCGATATGCCTTGTGCTGTCTGTCTGCTTATCTGATAGGACGTACCTAGTAGATATAGCTGCCATGGGGGAAGGGGGCAGGGCGCTCATATGAACAACCAGACAACGTTAGCATCCCACAAAAATATATCCTGTCGCCGACCTTGTTCTCCACTCCATGCTCACGAACGAATGCTACGTCGGACCGGCAAAATAATACTTAAAATTTGTCGACGATGGTGCTCAATGCAGTGGTCATATCGATCGCGGATGAAACACAGTTCGATAACTATTGGCATGAGAACGACACACTGGCCAACTGGTTCCGACTCAATGCCGGCAAATGCGTGGAAAATCGCAGAGCGTCAAGAAAATGTTCACGATTGCTTCTATAAGCGAAGTCAACGCCTCGACGCTGACCGATTAACCGATCATGCAGAAGTCATCCGTATCACATTGCGGGTTTAACAAGGAACAGCGACTTGGCATGAAAAAATCAAATGGCTGTTAGCATGCCCAAAGCCCGACATACCTCGCACTACACAGAGATTACGATACATGCGCGCTCTGACGAAAACTGTCTGACTGTTTTGGACTGCCTGTAATGTTCCAACCATTGATTATACTGCCCGCATTTTATAGGGAGCTTGGCGCGAATAGTTTCAAACGAATTCCGCCTATGATTCAAGTACTCAACCCGTTCAGCAAGCTTGTCACACAATCACATCGCCATATTTTTGATTAAAAATTTCACCATGGCCACCTGACCGTATCGCGGACAGCATTTTAAATGACCTGGAGCATCCGCTGCATCGCTAATTGGCATTGCGTCGGTAGCTATTAGTCGCCACGCATACGAATAAACTGTATGCTGCCCAGATAGAATACTACAGATGCTCTGTCGCACAGTAAAGCACGTCATGTGCGGAATGCAAGCGAACAAGGAATTCGAAGACTGTGAGCTAGCTTAGTCTCGTCCGGATGCAAGGGGGTGGTTCAATCCCTTCAGCGGCGCACCAAAGGGCGTTTCGTCATCTCTGAAAATCAGAATTTGCGAGAATACCACAGACATTCAAAATAAGCTCTCTGGCTCAGTCGCCTGTGCCATTGAAAATTCACAACATAAACAACAGCCAAGTCAACATCACAGACAGCCATAACGATAAAAATTAAACTACTCGTAAAGGAGTCCATCTCTGCTAACCAAAGTAGAGTAAGCAATGGCTGAGGCATATCCAGGGTAGAAGGACTAATCCGTTGTTTGCTGAATCGAAGAGAACCTCCGTATTCTTTAATCGCTTCGCTGTTACAGAATTATTGCTATATACTGATTATGACCAAAACGCGGTCGATCAAAACGTTGGTCCCCTAAGGAAAACACTTATTTCGCATCGCCTCCTTTAGAAACTAAAAAGTTGCTTATAGTTCTTCAACATTTCATACAACTTTCTGAAAAACACTGACGCCAATTCAATGGCCCGATCATTCTGGATCAGAGCTACTGTCATTCTTCAACGCTAGTGCGGCATACCTGAAAAAGCCACACTTTCCACTGTCAAACCGCTGCATAGCGGATTACATCAACGAGCAAAAACGACGATAAATAGATGTGATTTTCACTGATCACTAAACTGAATAGTTCTGCTCTTCAGAGCGTGTTTAGTCTTATATGGCAGTGACAAAGACAGCATAGGTTAACCGTATGCATAAACTTGCCAGATGCGTGAACCATATATCATAGTGTTCACCCTGCGTACACATTTTATACTTCTAAGTTGCGTTGTTAGTAAAAAGGGCGTACTGCTATGAAAATAATCCATAGAAGGAAACGCCATTAGTGATGCGGCAAGGAGGCAGTTAATTTTTAAACCAAGAAATAAAAACTGCACCGCAGAGACGTCCATTGATTACTGCTAAACGATGATTACTTACGAACAGCAGCGCAACCGTCTAAAACTAGCATTATACAGAATTAGAATGTCAAAACACGCCAAATTCTCAAACAGGGAAACGATGGAATGACGGGGTATAGGCCTACTCCATGATGTAGGTTGCACCGGCTGTTCAAGAGTCCACGACGAGTGTTGAGGTAATGAGCAAGAAAATTTTAGGCTTCTATAAAACAGGATATGATCAACTGTGCGTAGACACTTCGAAAGTCTGATCAACATCAGCCATTTGAAGTAAATGATTATCTCTCGTTCATGACATAAAACGAAAAATTAACGTTAACTGGCAACCTTCGAAAAAGTTAGCGATGTCCAAATCTGTGGCGGCAAAAGGCAAACCCTGCAGACGCACCACCGCATCATTATTGTTTTCTGACGTAGCATCTGCTGACGCATTAAACGGAATGCTCTCCTTGCTGCTGGCATATACTAGAACGAAAGAAAATGAATCGATTAGAGAAAATTGTATACTCGTTATCTTTAACTATTACAACCACATGAGGGGGAAGCAATTATTACTACTGCTATTTTAAGTACATCGTGTGCTAATGAATGGAAATAGCGAAAAGTTTCAGATCTTGCGCTCATCGGATTAACTCCAAGCTATCAGAAAAACAAACCGCTTTACGCCGAGCCTTTAAGGCATGTCCAGAAAGAAATTCTGGAAATAAACCCAACAGACTGATAAAGTCTAGTGATCTATTCCGTTTTCGGATAGAGCATAGCGAAAGATACCATCTGCTGATCTTGCAGAAGCGGAAAGTTGAATAGTTTTCGACTTTTGAGTTCACCGAGCTGCATTTTACAGTAGACAAAAAATGTAACACTAAAATGAAGGCAAGACAACCATCCCATATGATGGAACGTCATTGACGATAAACACACTGCAACTTGGCTACAACTGTTGGATCCAAGAATTTGAAAACTGACTGATACCCTTTTTGAAACTGATTATATAAAGGAGCAAAGATGTGATAGGAGATGGGGCGGGGTGGGGCTTTACCTTCGATGTATCGTCTATCCATGTAATTCAGATGTTTCTGCAGGGACAGTTGAAGAGATTCTTCGTTTTCAAGTTCGACATAGGCTTCGCCAGATGGTCTGCCGAGATGATCGAGCATAAAATGAACTTTAATGTTGTCGCCGACTAGAAATGTTATAATGCACAACCGAAGAAGCATGAACTATGCCTCAAATACTGACCATTCAGAAACAGGACAACGTCTTCCCTGGTCGCCGACCATGGTAGTCCACGAAGCTTCACAACATAACTCATTGTTCAAGTTAACTCGCTTCACCGGAATCTCTAGAAAAGAAAGGTTAGCCAATGTGTCATTCGCGACAAATCACGCTGAAATCATGAACAAAACGAACAGTGACAATCAAGAAACGACCTCGAAATTTTACGAAGAAGATAGTACGATCACGGAGGTTACGAATCTCTGTTCCAAAAAGATGTAACTTAGACGGAGGCAAAAGAAATCTAATTCGAAAGTCGTGAAATTCAGTCGGTTAACGCTGAACAGAAGCGCATAAACAACTGACCAGACAACATAGCTTTTAAACGAGACTTATCTCCCTTGCTTGCAGTGCAATTCAGCGTGTGAACTGTTTAGTAATTCGAAAACATATTACAACAAAGCACCAGAATTTAAAAGCTCTGGTTGTAATATCACTGTAAGTTAGTACAGCGTAGTGTCACTGTAAGTTTGATGTACTGCTGATGTTTCAGGTGTATCACTTAAAATAAAATTACCTTTTCCTGGGAAAAATAAACGGGAGGTGGGATCTACGACAGTTCATTCAGCTGTGCTAACATGTTTCTAAGCTTAGCTTTCGCAGTAAAGTCATTATTACATGTACTTTCGATCCAACAATACATAATGAATATAATTCGGGGGATGTCAATAACTGTAAACAATTAAAGTGAAAATCGAAAGTCCGTTTTCATCGGGTCCCAAATTTACGGACCAAAGTAATTGGCGTTGTTGCCTCTAACAAGTTATTCATCGCTAGAATATTAAAAATCATATTCTCCTCACACATACAAAATGACCAAGTTCTGTCAAATATCTTTCCATTGATTATTAAGCGCCATAAAATTAATGATGGCGTATACAAATACTCAAATGATCAGATACGCTGCGTTGTATTCAAATTTTTCCACTACGGTTAATAACGAAGAGGCTTAATTCATCAAGAGTACTAATAAAGCTGTGCTCATTGGCTGTTTTCGGGTTTGCCAAAGGGCTTGTTTTTTGCAAACATCCAACCGCTCTCCACGGTAAACAACTATAATTTCAAACTCCAAAAAATGTGCGGAAACTCGAAACTTCATTCAACTTTCCTTTAAACTCGTGGTGATTACTTGATCCTTTACGAGCTGATTTACTGTTATCAGTCAGGGGAGTCACGGCGAAGCGAAGATGCGATACGCATGCACAACAAAGCATTGTCCTTAGTTTCCTAAGCTCCTAAATTAATGAGAATACCATGGTGTCACTACTTCCGGCAACACAAACTCCATCCATTTCTCGGCCAGTTGCCCGAAGCGCGGGGG